AGTTTCCCCCAAACCCCTGCACCTATCTTCTTGAAACTTGGTAGATTTTGTGGCCTCAGCAAGGGCTACCACCTCTGCAGTTTTCACCCCAGTGTGGCTTAATACACACAAGTGATATGAGTTTTGCTTTCAGGACTTTGTGGTAAAGTTTCCCAGAAACCCCTGCACTTATCATCTTGATGCTTGGCATGCATCATGCTCTCAGCAGAGGCTATCATCCCTGCAAGTTTCATATGAATCAGTAAAAGACAACAAAGCTATATATATTTCATTGATTCTTCATTATACCCTACGGCCAAATCTCCGAATCACCGAATCTTTTCTGAATTGATTTGGAAGCTCTGACTTGATTCAGAAAGCCTAAAACTTCCAGTGATTCAATTTGGATTCATAGGTTCGACCTCCAAATCATCCGAATCATCTCTGAATCCAAATCATAATCCAAAGCTTTGCACAGCCGTAATGAGGGGTGAGTGGACATGTGCGTGCAGATTTCTGCACCCACAGAGGGACATGGGCCATGGGGCTGCAGGTGGGACCCAGAATGGAAGGGAGCGTCATGCCGCCATGGCCAAAGTGAGGCATGGAAGCAGTAGTGCAGAGCCCCCTGATGCTGCCAGGTAGGCAGGTGGTGCCTCACCTTGGCAGCCATGCTGGCACTGCACGCCATCCTGCACCGGGTCCTGCCCACTGGGCCACAGAGGCAATTCCTGCCCAGACCTGGTCCAACCAGGCTGCAGCCCTGCCTCCTGCTGTGGGTGCAGAAAACTGGGGGGGGGGGCACATACCCCCTCCCAATGCTTTGTCTATGCCATCCCAGCCCCCTGACAAATACCTGTGCCCTCCCCCACCACCACCCTCATAGACTTACCTGGAGGAAGCTGAGAGAACTGCTCTCCACCACACTGCCAGGCTGCCACGTGCATGTGTGCGCGCACATATGCACATGGCACCCCTTGTGTTCTGCTCTCCACAGCCCTAAGCAGCCCCTCAGCCATCCTGCAAGGGCAAACCTACACTTTCCCAGGTTTTTCTCCTTAAAGGAGAAAATCCACATTTTGCTACATTTTGCCACAGCAAACAGAAAACCCAGATCCCTGGTGATGTGATAATTGTGCAAGCATGAGTCACAAGATTTCATGAACCTTCATATCTTCATGCTTTTAGAATGCCAAATCCTCAACAGGGATATAGGGCCTACATAAGAGAACAAGTGAAATGACAGCCTGTGTTTTCCTGTAGCATACATAGAAAGCTAGTTATTCATCATATATTTTTTAAGTGAATTTACTGCTTATCAAAGGTGCCAGGTTATTTGACTCTGTAAAAGGGGATCACAACTAGAAAGGAATCTTTGGAGGAATGGCCTCCTCAGACTGAAAGGAAGATAGGCAACAGGACCACAGAAAGGATTCAAAAAGAAAGCAAAGACTTAAAGCTGAAAGTAGGGAAAAATATCCCACAAGAGGCAGCTTTGTGACCAAAATAAGAATTTTCATTAATTTTGTTTATTTTACAGATTTTTTCCAGTGTTTCTTCTCAATTGAATTCCCTTTCCCCACCCCCCTTCCAATTCTTTCACTTTTCCAGTGAGAGGGGGAAAGTTTATTAAACACAGAAAAATATCAAGAGTAGAATTTTTAATTTCTTCAAAAATATGTGAAAAAACATTAATCTATTAGTCCCAGTAGCATATCATTTCCCCTTCCCTCAGACATTTGAAGCTTTATTAAAAAAAAATCTGCTTTTTCAGTGAAATTTACTTGTGTCCTTCTTAGAATTATTTGAGCTTGCTGTAGGAAAATAAATATTTGAATGGGTAGATATGTACAGTCATTATAAAATGAAGCTCCACAGTTTATGAAATCATGCCAAGAGACCTGCTCTGTCTGTCTGTCTGTGCTGGACTCAGGACTGTCTATCCATCTATATACGTATAGCAAAAACTAAATGCGTTTCCTCATACAGTGGTGAGGAAACATGCTTTACAGGTGCCACTTGAAAATGAGTAATTTAACCACAAGGATTGTATGTCATTAATAGCCCATGGATTCATAGGCTGCTGATGGCTACCCCCATCTTAAATCTCTTATATAATGATGCAGTTTGAATTGAAAATAAAATGGTTTATTTCTTCACGATATTCAGGTCAAAACGAATCAATGCACTAAGCATAATACCACATTTTAGGACAAAATAATAAGTGCTTTGCAAGTCTTCATAACTGTTTATTCAATATAAATAGTAAATATTTACTGCACTTTTTACATGAAAGACATTTTTACAACACGTGCTGTTGGTAGAGGCTGCAACACAAAGATAATATTTCTTTTGTTCCATCACCCTTTAAGACTAATGTGCGACCTAATCTCTGTACTATACCTAATCTAACTCACTACTTCATAGTCCTTAACACTAAAAGGAATGTATTTGTGCCCTACCTCACTCATTGTACCAAGAATCAAGAGAAATAAATAACGCTGCCTTCCATTTTTCTGTTCCTCTTAACATTTCAAAACACAAATTTATTGACATTCTAAAATGTCACAACATAAACTTATGTAAACCTTGGTTCCTATTTTTTCCTATATTGGATATCACTGTATAATTTAAGAGAACACATCAGGTATAGGAATATCTCAGTTCACGTCCTGTAGGTCACTAAAAAAAGAATGTAAACGTAATCATTTCATTGTATGGTTTCCTGAAAATGGTTTTTAATCATGATTAGTGAGCTGGATTTCTATTGACCATCAGACTACAACACTTCTGCATTTTATTACAATGAATTATATACTGCAAAAATAAAAGTACCTGGAAAAATATAGTTCTGATTCTATCTATCACTTTGGATGATCCCAAAGTTTGTGTGAGGTACACAGTATTGCACATTGTTAGGCAGTTATGGAAAACAAAGTCACTTTGTTGGTGATTTTTTTCCTTTTTTTGATTCAGAATGTAACATGGACACACAAAAAAAAGGCAAAACTTTCTTTGTGTTACACATCATCTCATTTGTTGTAAAGCAAAACTTGCAAGTGACATTTATTGACAACATAATTACAAAAGAGTGATAAGATAACCAATAACTTATTCTGGAAGCCTTTTACATCTATCCTAGCATCCTACTGACTGCAACATTTCCTCTTGATGTCAATTTCCAGTGTGTAAACTTTTAAAAAGTTCTCCTGCCCATGCTTCATAAACTGAGCAGTTTTAAAGTCATCGTAAAGTCAGCATTGGATATCAGACGAGTCAGAATCTACAGGGATCAACTGTTACGTTTTAGAACATTCCATCCGTTCAAATCAACGCCTGCTTTTTTCGGCAACATAAAATGGAATGTTTTGTCAGTCAGCAGTTTTAAATACTTTGCTAGTTTTGATACCTGCCCATACTGAACCAAGCTGCATTTGTTTATTTAATACTGCTCTTGGTCTTTGTCTTCTGAACTGTTTTGTCCTAATGTCTGAATGTCTACTGAAAGTAATGACGGGAGAAAAGCACATAACAATCATGTATCTTTATTGTGATTGCCCTGGTTTGGGCTGCGTGTCAGTGAGAAGATTCCTCCTATCCAAGCATTGGAGTGAGACCAGAAACAAGACCAGCTTTAACTTGAAGCGGACAGTTCATTTATGCAATATCTGGCTTCAGATAATGAAAGGCACCTGCAAGAAAGCAAAAGAAGCTTTTTAAGTCATGCTGTGACCACCTCACAGCAAGGGGCAATGTCAACTACAGGTTGACATTGTCATATTTAATACTGATATATCAAAGGAAAGGGACTAATATTTTTATTCCTAGGACAAGTTTGACAAAACTCTGTATATCTGGGATTATATACTATAATGATTCTTGAACTGACCTCATTAAGAACATGTGTTTCTAATACTGGAATGCCAGTGGTTATTTCATTTTGGACAACCCTTATGTTTTACCTAATGGCAATCAGGTTTCATGTCTCAACAATTAATAACATCAAGATGTTGTTGACATCACTTAAGAAAATAATTATGCAGCAGAAATCTTGCTTGAACAATCAGTTATCCTAGTGCAAACACAGTTCTATTATGAAGAGAAGTAGCAGTCATAGTTTATATATCAGTCTTCACCATTTTCTTTATGAGCAGAAAAATACAATGAAGATAGAATTGCCCTGCTAAGGATATGTCCTGTCATCCCGTTGATCAAATACTTACTTTGTCCATACTGTCCATACTGGTAGCCTGTGACGGGGTCCATACTGTAACCTGTAGTACTGTAGGTTGGTGGGCAGTACGATTGGGATGTAGGCAGGCTGTCTAAACTTTTCATATGATCTAGTCTCTGACTGCAACTGGCTGATACAGTGGTGCTTGGTTCTAGGCCCCCAGTTAAAGGTGAGAGGGCATAGTCGGTTTGGGGTTGGTGAGGTACACCACCATGGTTAGTCAAGAGTCCCATTACCTAAAATAAAAAGTATAATAATGAGAGAAGGTTAAGATGTATGAACAACTGTATTTCATATGTTGCTACAAGAATAATTAAGTCTGTTATTTAATTTCCCAAGATATCTGTTACTTGGTATTTGACCTGCACTTTGGGTACCTAATTCAAAGAGAAAAAAGAGTTACATCATGCACCTAAATGATAACTTATGGCTGGCATTCCAAAAAAATTAATGTACAGGGGTACAGAGAAAAACCCTTTTATGCTTTTAGAATGTCTGATCACATGTGACAGTTGGGATTTCTGTGGATGTTTATTCCTTAGGGATTCAATAATGATAAGAGAAGTAAAGAAGAGGAAATAGCTCCTTGGTCATAATCTAACATTTTATGGTGCTGCTCCCCAAACCCAAAAGCTCCATTGTTCTTTGTTTATTTTCTCATACAAGACATTTCACATTCTTCATAAAGACCAGTTCAACCAGATCAGTAATATCTAGAAAAATAACCACATCAGACAGAAAAGAACAAGATAGTTATATAGTAAATTGAGGTTTAGATCCCATTTTAAGGCTTCTAAACTTCACAGTTTGAAATGGGATAGCAACACCAACTCAGTCCTAACGACTGTTCTGGTCAACTTTACTATATAAGAGGCTCACTCTTTTCTAACGTGGTGGCTTTTCTAGATACTGCATCTTTAAACAACTGTTATTTTCTCTTTTGCAGTTATAAATAGGTTCTCAGTGGGCAGATCTACATGTGCATGTTTACTGCACAGTAACCTAAAATTACTGTGCAGTATAAGTGTTGTCTACATGTGCACACCCACAGTGCACAGTAAATATGGCAACTTATGCTGACTTAGGTGTAAATTTGATACTTGCATCATACAGGAATCAAATTTATGCCCGATTAGTTACTGTGCAGTAATGCACGTGTAGACACCTTACTGAGCAGTAACACTGTATGTGAACTGACTTTGGACTTACTTTACTCTCAAGTTGATCCACACAGAGCATTACTGCAATTAACGCCTGCACATATAGACACTGGCCTAAATCTTTTTATTGTGCAGTAAATTACTATGTAGTAAATTTAATGCACAGTAAATGCACATGTAGACTCGCCCAGCAAATATTTAGTTTTGCTTCTAAAATAGTGGTAAGAAACAAACTATACTTGTAATGACAGAAAACTTCCTAGCAGAATAAGATTATAGAGCTAAGCAAATGATGGCAAAAATATTTATTTTTATCTGTTTGTGTTGGAGTAGCACCCAGCAGCCCTAGTCCTACCCCTGAGCACATTGTTTTAGGTGCTATACAAACATTATACAAGGGAGACTCTTACAGCCACCAGAAACTTACCAAGTCATATTTGTTTAGCCTCCAAAAACAGTTTCAATTCAATGCATTTGCAGTGTACCATAGGCAGCCCCCAAAGAACTCTAGAGAACATTTGTTTACTGGCTAGGGCAGAGTGGGCATAACTCATGTACTGTTGTCTGCAGCATGTGACCAGTCTGTAAAGAAATGCTGAAAGAAAAGGCTACAGTGCATGTCACAGATTCCCAAACCAATTCACTGCCTTAGAGAAGGCAACAGTACTGCTCTTCTACACTGGCTTCTGGACTATTGGGACTTGTTTAATAAACTTCTTATAGATATGAAATCAACAAGGGGGAGTGGGGAAGAGATTACTGCAAAATATAAAAGCCCAACTCCCTGGTAGGAATTTTCTATGGAAATTCAGGACTAGATTTTTCCAAAGCACTTAAGCAATTCAGGAGCACACATCTCACTGTAAGCCAACAAGACTTGTGCTGCTAAATTCCTTATTTTTGAAAATATCCTCCTCATACTATAGTTTGATCTATGTTTACTTTCCAAGGACTACTCTATTTTACAACATGTGGTGAAAACTGCTCCCTTTTGTTGGAATTCCTACCACTTTAAGGCTTGAGAAATAGGCTTGAGATTATATACACAGGACCCAGTGGAGCTTCTAGATAATCTGTATATTCAGAAACTGAAGTCACAATTCCCCTAGAAGACTGCTTCCAAAACTGGGGTATATGGTGAGCTCCAAGAAGACGCACAAGAAGAAGGAATGGGAATGCAGGAGGGAAAATGTAAATATAAATTTAGGAATAAAAAATAAAAATAAAAAATGAAGTAAATCCACAATGTCTTAAATTGTTGGAGAGGTTACAGTGGTTGTAACAACACAAAATAGTATTTTTTTTATCCACAGCATGGAAGCACAAGGATACACAGCAGCATAACTTATAAAAGGCATTTTGTGACCCAAAAAAGTTTGAGAACCACTGCCCTAGAACATCATGAATGAATTTCTAAGATTTGTTTGTAATTATTTTGCCTTACTTACTCTTCCGTCTTATCCTTAAAAGAAACACTTAAAATAGTGATTACTGTTTTAGGGACCAATTCTACCTTCATATGAGCCCATACCATTCTGAGGGCAGATGTCCTTTATTGGACTGTTTTAATTTTTCATTGAATGAATACAGTGATTTATTTTTGTAGTGCTACTGGTGACCCCTGAACTGCCACCACTGAGTTTTGTTTGGTTTTTATAAAGAAAAGGAAAAACAGGACTGGAGATCATGGTTTCAATGGAAGGGAAAACTTCCAAAAAGATTAGCACAAGGTGAGTCAGATTCAGGAAGCTGTGGTTATAATGACATCAAAATGCATGAATCAAGGATATGCATCACATGTATCCTATAGAAAAGATAAGCAGGAATATGTGCAATGGTTTTTTTTTTCTTTAACTCTCCAAATAAAGTTGTGGGGAGGAAGATTTAGCTATATGAAAATACTAAGAAAATTATTTTTGTTTTATTCAAACTGTAGAAGAAAAAAGAAAACACATATCTAAAATGTTCAAACTTTTTTTAAATAATTCATTTTAATTCAAAAAGTATGTTATTTTTAAATATTTCAATTTTAAAATGACCTTTTGTTAAGAAATGTCTTTCAATTCTATTTTTTAACTGTTAAATTCATTGCTGAAAGGAAGCATTTTGTTTCAGGTTGAATGAACTATTTCATTTGAACAAAACACTCTTTTTCTTTCTCTTTTTAATTTACCCAAAAAATTAAAAATGTTTAATTTCAGGTCAACACAAAACCATTTTCAAGAACAGTCAATTAACTGAATTTTTTTTAAAATCAGTTAGTAGCTCAATTCTACTCATAAACTTCCACTTAACAAATATGGTGGCAACCCCCGCAATGGCTGTAAAGAACTGGATATGTTTTCCCCTCATCTTGGTCAGACCCTCAACAATTGAACTTCCTTCAATTTTTCAGAAGAATGTAGTAGGATGATTTCCAGTTGAAGTGATACAAATAAACTTCTTTGTTTGATTGGAAGATTATGCATTCCAAGATTTGCTAGCAGGGCCCCTAATACTGGAATCTGCATGTGTGCTCCATACTATAGTTCCCTTGAATTAATCTTTCTTCTTTCAGATTACATCTAACAGATTTAAAATAAAGGGAAACCCATAATGTAAGTTAATGCTGACATTGAAAATGACTAGTCTGGAAAATGTTTACTTTGGCATGAGTATCATGATTTTGACTACAGTCTAAAATATACAGTTTATCAGAGATCTAAAATAACGCTGCAAATTACTGCACAAACTTTCCTGTTCTCATCCCCAAAACTATTTGAGTCATTGCTTTATCTTATTCTATTCAAATTTCTTTACATAATAGGTCAAAGCCTGCTCTCCTAACTCTCTTATTAACAGTCCCATTGAAGTCCCATTGGGAGTTTTCCCTGAGTGAGGACTACAGGATCAGAGCCTGCCTGGGCTGTTTGTTGAGTTGGGCAAACATTTTTTCCCATCACCTTTAATTCTTTCTCAAAACAGTTCTAGCATATGCTGTCAATAGAAAAGGACCCAAGATAGAGCATTTAGCCCTTTGCAAATTGTGGACTCCCAAGCTCGGCAGTGTTAGGAGACAGTATTGTATCTCCTAGCTGATTTAAGAATCAGAAACCAACCTTGAATTTTTTATGTGGCTTTCAATCCAGGTTCAGATTCTGAATCTGTCTAAACACTGGGTACATCTCAATCTGGTATTTTAGAGAAGGCTCACTTTTATCAGTGGTACCATTTGCAAGTCATACCGGTATTTCCTGAGGAACTGAAATAACAAATTTGTGATGGGATTTCACATTCAGAATCTAAACTTAATCCTACGTTAACTGCTGTTGTCAGCAATCTATCAAATGGAGACCATCTAATAAATCAGATGGTTTGAAACGTCTTGACATGGCTGACATAGCTCTACATCTTCAAGGATGAAAAATCTGAATTTGAACTGTAATTGTCTTCTTAGAAATATCTTCTTCAGAGGCCTTAGGAATTATCCTGCAGTTGATTAGCATCTAAATAATTAGATTTTTGGTTGTGTCTATTTCAAAGCTACAAGGGAAGTAGCCTAAAGGCAGAAATCTCTCTTATGGTATGTGTCATGACCTTATCATCCATACAAGGAGTTACAGGAAGGGCATGGCTGACTTTCACCTAATCAATTAGAAAGCCATTAAAGTTCCAATCCTTCTAACCTATATTAAATGGTGCTCAACACTCAGACAAGAGACATACATGGGTCAGAGCTGTGCTGATCAGAATTTCCAAATGTCTAAACCAGAATAGCTCCACATAAGTTACACTGATAGTCACCAACAAAGTGTCTGACACTATATGAGGAAGATCAAATTATCTTCATAGTTATACAGGTTAAATTCTGTTTCCCTTAAAAGCAATGGAAGACTCCCAGAAAGTATATGTGTATTATATCAAACCATATTTCTGTAAAGCCAAATGCTGCAGTTCCTATTCAGTATTTAATGATGTCAAAGGATCAGGCCTGTGGTTTCAGGCCCAAAAAGAGCAATATGTCCAAGTTCTACTTCATAAGGGAAACAAGTAACCCGGAACTTATAGCTAACCACTGCATTTCTATAATAAAACAT